GTTAGTTGAGCTGTAATTATGAATCACTCATAAGCTTTTAAGAAGTAGTTGATTCTGTTTATTGGAGTGTGTTTCCTTCTTGATTCTTTCATGGTTTATCACATGTTGTATGATTGAAGGGAAATGAGATGGGCCACATATTTAGGAGTGTCTTAAATAGAAATTACATGGGCAATGATTAGGTGCAAAGTTTGGAAAACTAGAGGTTGTTTAGAACTTCAAACTAATATTATTATAGTAGATTTCCTTTATGGCTTGGATGCCCCCAGATGTAGGTGACGTTGCACTAAACTGGGTTAATAATTGACATGTGTTATTTACTTCTAGCTTGATGTTTAAAATTTTCATTATTTTACTGTGTTGTTACAATGTATTGACTTAGCTTTCAACATATTGTTATTCTAACATCATATACGATATTTGTCTAGTTGTACCAAAATTTCACACATATAACATGAATGACGCTCCTCGATTCCCACTATCATGGATAATAGATTTGAAGTCGTCATTTACTTCGAATTTGACTACCTCAATTCAGTTGAGCAAGAGGTGGTTCAAGTGTTGGAAGACTCTGAAGTCACGAGTTCTCGCGCCATGATGACTATATATCACGGGGAAGATAGCATGATAGATAAGTACTTGGGTGATTTTATGGTAAATGAAACCCTTATTTTAAGATTGTTTATTTGTCATAACACTTATGTTTTCCTTATTACTTTACTGCAGGGAAAATGTCTAAAATTCCTTTAGCTAAAAGGAAAAAGCGCATGGCTAGGAAAAAGGTTGAAAACGAGTCGACAAACAACCCTATGAGCCGCTCAAGATGCCTAATGACAAATGGGGTAAACAATGTTGAAACTAAAATTAAGTATAATAAGTTTTTCTCCATTAGTAAATATTTATGTGACGAATCATATAAATTTAAAAAATTGTTTCCATATGTTAAAAAACCATTTCCTCTCTTGAAAACAAAAACAAAAATCTAATAGAAAAAATAAATTGTCTTAGAGAAAAACAAACTCTTATAATTAAAGACTATCCTTCTACTTCTAAAAATTTACAAGATAAATCTATCTAGTGTAAAATGAAAAACTTTAGAAAATAAATTGAAGATTTAAATAACACTCTTGATGAATTTACCAAAATGATAGATAAATTAAATATCATTTTAGGTAATCAAAGAGTTACTTATAATAAATCTAGATTAAAAAATAAACTTGAAGCTAATGCTAAGCCGTTTAAAAAGTTTGTCGCTTAAATAAGACTTTCAATCATAAAATGCTTATATGTTTTTATCATAGTAAACATGATCATAATTTTTCTTTATGTTATATAAGAAAGGATCATGAAATTAATGCTATTAAGAAATAATTCCTATAAATAAAATGTATTACACAAATGCTAAAGGACCCAAAAAGATTTGGGTATCAAAGGCCAATAATTGAAATTGTGATGTAGGTGTGCTTTAGAGTCTCGAACTCAAAATGGTACATCGATAATAATTATTCAAAATATATAATAGGCGAAAAAAATAATCATTCATCTTTTACTCCTAAAATGGGAGGTTATGTATCTTATGGTGACAATAACAAAGGTAAAATTGTTGGTTATGGTATTGTTGGCAAGGGTCGTAATCATACCTTTGTAGTTGTTTTATTTCTTGAAGGTTTTAAACACAATTTACTTAGTATTAGTAGATTGTGTGGCAAGGGTAATGTGCAGTGTTTTATTCTTCCACATACAAGGTCATTAAATGTGAAAATAACTTTTTAGTAAAACTTTATTTAATTTATAATAAAAGGATCAAAACTATGCAATAATTTGTACAAGTTACCTTTGATCAAACTAACCCCATAACTGCATAAGTGGTTAATGTTATTGATTATGTAGGTCTTACGGGAAACACTTATAAGAAGATAAAAACATAAATGTGGAAGAATAACAACCTCAATAAGATCCTCCCAACAAATGGAAAACTTAATGACAATATCATAAGAGATATCTCAAAATGGGTGGCAACTTGAAACTCTCTAAAACAGTGAACTTAAAATGTTTAAGTAAACCAATAGTTACTTATGAGATTTTATGTGCAAAAAGAAATCTAAACTCACATGAAATACCTCATATTACATCGACCAATATGACGAAGGTAAGATGGTAGACTAAGTAATTAAGAATCAATATATGCTCAACTTTCTTCCTTGCCTTTTATCCATTTGTTTGAACATCTTTTTAAAGTAAATTTCTATATCTTCATTGTCATCTTCATCTTGAAACTAATATTTTTTATTGACTAAAAAAGATAATGCATACATCTTCTTAAAAACACAAGTTTAAGAAAAAAGACAAAATGATCTAAATGTTGTCATAAATCCAACCTTACTCCAAGCCCAAAAAGACAGTAGAGATTTTAACTCAATAATCATTCTCAAAGTTGGATGTCATTCGTTGTGGGGGAGAAGCACACATTTATGCTTTTTGATAATTTCAAAGGGAGATAAGTAAACTCTCAAGGGGAGTATACTAGCTAAATTTATCAGGGGGAGTTAAAACTCCAATTATCTTCATCTTAACCTTTATTTTAATCCACCTCCATAAGATATGTTTTATCAACATAAAAAGGATGAGAATATGGTTCTATGTACATGCAAGTTTTAATGACGATGCAACAAAAGAACAACAATCATGAATATCATAAAAGAATAAATACATATCAAAAACCATGAAGCAATCATGTGATGATGATACAACAAAGATAAAACATTATTAACTTCATCAACAAGCAAACCTAATTGTTTAAAATATGTCTCTGATCCAAATCTAAAGTTGTAATATTATTTTAGGACCAATATGCAAAACAAGCACGATGTTCTCCAAATATTAGAAGTATTCATTTACACACATTCACAAAATATTTTTTAAAACTTCATATTTTTTCAAACTCTTTTAAAAAACCTTTTGGAAAATTCAAATCTAATTTTAAACTAAGCATAATCAATTATGTAATCAATTATTTAATCACCTATATAATTATTTATGAAACAAATTTTGGCTTATAATTGATTATAATGGTAATGTAATCGATTACGAGGCGTGTCTCACTTAGTAATCAATTTTGAACGTCTCATAATCGATTATGGTTCAAATCTATGTGGAAAAGTTCTATATTACATGTGCATGATCGATTATGGCCCAACATAATCAATTAACAACACACTACATCTAAGATTTTTTTCAAATATTTACTTTTTGGTGAATCTACTATATAAAGAGATTTTGTACTCATTTGAAAAACACACGAGATATAAAAAATCCATTCTCTTCATCTTACACATTGCTCCTAAAATCTTCATATACACTTTATATAATTATAGTATTGAGAGAGTAACTATTAATATTAACTTGAGTAATTCGTTACTAGCTGATCTCTGATATGTAAGTGTCAATCTAAGAGAGTGTCCTTCTATTGAATTTGATAAAGTCCAATCGATTATAGACTTTGAATTATAACTGCTAAATAGTAACTTGCATAATCCATTGATGTTACTTTGATTTATAAGTGTAAAACTAAAAGAACGTTGTTCCATTGAATATGAAAACATATAAAAATTATAAGATGAACCTGATAAGAAATCTTGATGTAAATGTTGTGAGTTGAACATGTGATAAAAACTTAGTTGATAATCAGAATCTCAATATGTTATTCTTAGGAACCGAATATAGACCTTGTGGTTTTAGGGTGAATTATACTAAAATTAGCGTGTTCCTTCTTAATCCCTTATCCATTTAACAATGAGAATTTACACCAATGCTAATTATGTAGGTTTAATGAGTGTTAAAAAATTTAGTCCATGCTATTATATCTTTTTTGTACAGGAACTTGATCGATTAAATGACCAAGAAATAAAATGTAGTTGCTCGATCAAGTATTAAAGTAGAATTTAAAGTCTTGACACACATAATTTATAATTTTTGTAAACGAATGAAATATTACAAGATTTAAAGATGTAGTGTAAATGTCCGATGCAATTGTTTTACGATGATAAATCAACCATTATTATTATCAGGGCAAACTCAGGACCAGGACAACCAAACTCACAACCCAGGACCTCCAAAAATATAGAGGCCTCATAAAATTTATTAATTAGCATCATTCCAATAATAACGCGACAAATCTATTATTGTAATTTTAACTTTAGTGCGTAAGTTCTTGTAACAGACACATGTAAATATTTTTTTTAATTTTATTTCAAAACAACAAGGGTCAAATTCTCTTTTGTTAATTATTTCTTTAGTTTTATTTCATTTTTTAAAACATAAATAATATTGATATTTTATAAATATATTTTAAATTTATTATTAGACCATCTTATTTATCAATAAATTTTTTATAATAAAATATAGCACATTACAATATGTATTTAATTTATTATTATTTTTCTATAGAAAGATATATTATTATTTTATAATAATATTAGTATTATTTTAATGATTATTATGATTAAGTATATATAAATTAAATTAATAAATTTAAAACATTTTTGAACAAGAGTTAATTACATAAATAAATAACTAATTTTGATATTGTAGATATTGTTTACAATTTAAATAAATATTATTTTTTATTAACATTCTATTTTATTATTCGTTCTTGATCTCTAAAATATGAGCTTGATTATTACACAAAATCTTGTTCATCGGAAAAAGAAAAAACACTTAAAACTATCGTAAAAGTGTAAAATAATAAAATAAAAGAAGTTAAATATAACAAAACTACCCAAACCCGTCGTCATAAATCATAACCCAAAATATGCGCTGATATCGGGTCTTTCCCGCCACTAATACATTCGAGGGTTTTATTATTATTTTAGATTAGAAGCTTTACCAAAAACACAAAATTGGGGTTTCTCTCCTCAACTTTCGAGGGTTTTTCTCTCTTCATCAATTCCGATCAATCTCTACTTCACCGATCAAGTTCTCTCCGAAGAGAACGTTCCAGAATGAAGCGTGCGAGAGCCACAGGCGAGTCTAGCTCTTCTAGGGTTTCGCCGAGTCTCGAAGCAGGAGTCATCAAGAAACTCCGGTTGGAGAATTTCATGTGTCATTCAAATCACGAAACTGTGTTTGGAAATCACGTTAATGTCATCACTGGACAAAACGGAAGTATGTTATCTCCTCTTTCCATAGTCTCGTTCATGTTATAGTTTTATTTGTTTAGTTTTCCGTTATCAATAGCCTTTTACGGCTTATTGTTTGTTTGATTTTGTGATTTTTTCTGTTTGATGATGTCGTATCGATATACTGAATTTTGATGAGTTTGTTTACCTAGCAATTCAACTCCGACGCTGACACGCGACATCAGTAATAATTTGATAAAATGAATAAATCAAACGTAATCACAAGTGTTGGTGCAAGTGTCTGATATGGACACACTTTTTTCAGAGGTGTTGTTGCTACATAGATTTCCAAGGGCATGTTTGGATGGAAAAATATTTAAGGAATGCCATAATAGACGATTGTATAACAATAAATCATGCTTAAACCATTGATTTATTTTTGGTTGAGTAGCTTAGTGGCTAGAATCACACTTTAAGAATGGAAAATTTGGTAATCCAGGTTCGAACCCGAACTCACAACCAAACACATCAAATGTTTTTATTTACACTTTATATATTCTTTAATTCTTTAATTGATAAAATAAAAATACACCCTTTCTATATCCTCCATGGAAGCACACCCTTTGAAGTGCTTTACCTTGATGGCAGGGTGAAGTTGAAGAATAAGTTATTGAAGAGCTAAATCGTTAATAGTATTACTTAGGATTAAAAAGTAATTTTGTGAAAGTGGAATTAGTTGTGGAGTGCGGTTAACCATCCTAGGTGTACTATTAGAGATACTCTAGTGTTAGCTTAGTCTAAGTAGGCTATACTTGTCTAGACTGACACATGTCACTGTCAGCTTGATTGTACCAAAACCTGCTATGGCAAGTCAACTGGTTGTTGGTATAAATGTAAACAGTTACAGTATTTTGTAACTAAGTTTTCAGAAATCAAAAAGTTGTTACAACAAAAAATGAGAGACCTATCTTCCCTTTCTATTATGGTATCAGATTGCTAGGTTCGATCTATCTTCATTTTCTATTAAGTACTACTAGTGTATAACTATTAAGTGAGTTGATTAAAAAAATGTGTGTATAACTATTAAGTGAGTTGATTAAAAAAATGTGCTAAAGTGAGACCCACCGAATCAAGCAACCCTTGGAATAAGTGTTCTACAACGGGCTTGTTTTTGACTTGTTGCTAGTTATGATCTTTTTAATTTTATTCAGGACAGTGTTTAGGACTTTCTTTGTAAAATTTGTTTTCTAATGAATCCATGCTGTTTGTTTGATTCTGACATCTCTAGGTGGTAAAAGTGCAATACTTACTGCGTTGTGTGTTGCATTTGGTTGTCGAGCTAAAGGGACTCAAAGAGCATCTACTTTGAAGGATTTTATCAAAACTGGTGCTAGGTAAACGTATGATAAACTTTCTTAGGTTTATGGGCGAATGAGGATACCTTGTTTCCTTCTCACGTTTTATGCCAAGACTACTTGATACTGTTGTTTTTAAATTGTATGAAAGAAGGAAACACAATTTCTGATAGAATTGATAATCTAAACGACCAACATAATGTTTTTAATAGTTCTTTATTCTATTGTCTTTCTGTAGTAATGCTGTCATCCATGTTGAAATTCAAAATGAAGGAGAGGATGCTTTCAAGCCTGAAATGTACGGGGATGTTATCATTGTAGAACGTAGGATATCTGAATCCACAAGCTCTATCACATTGAAAGATCACCAAGGTGTGTAGACAACAATTTTTTATGAGATATATGTCATTTGTTGGCCTATTGAAACAATGGAAAAGTTGCAACGATATTTCTCTAGATTTAGCAATTCATTTGTGTGAGATATTTAGTATAAAATCCATCATTGTGTCTTCATTTGAAGCTTTTAGGATAATTGGTTGGTTCATGATATCTTCAAAGCCTTTACTGAAATGGCCTAGAGTTTCACATATGCCTGCTTTTATTTTTCTATGAAAAAGCTGAATCTGTACAAGGTAGGTGGTTTGTGCATTTTCTACGATTCAAGCCTAAAGGGATCTTGTATGAGGGGATGTGTGGGCATATTTCCTATATGCTCTTAAAAGTAGCTTATATACCCATATTATATTTCCTTAAAGCCTTTAAGATCATCTTATCACTAAGCTGCTTACCTAAATGCACACAACCATTGATGTGCCTTCGGTTAACTATGTTGTCAAATTCTTGAGCTAGCTCATACAGTCCTAAGATTTTGCAACTCTTGGAGTCAAAATCAAGTTAACTTGCTTACAAATCATCTGTATGAGTGTGGATTGACTCCCATAGATTTATGAGTTTCAGGACAATGAAATGAGTCTTCAACATAATGTTTTTCTTCCCTTTTTTAGACATACCTAAAATGACAGTGGTTGTGTTTTTAAGAAACAAAAAAAACAGTAACTGTATTATCAAGCTTCTCTGTGCTTAAAACACTAACCTCAGAATTGTAGCACTTGACTCCATAGGTTGCATCTAACATTCCAACAAGACTCCGTTCGCAGTGGAGTTTAGATGCTGGGTTTGGGTTCAGTGTTTTTAAATAGTGACTTGTGTGGTGCTATAGCACAATAGTTAGCTGAATTTGAACAAATCGCTATTGCTCTGCAATCTGCTATTTAGTAAAAAATATTGTCAAATTGCTTCTATAACATTGATATAGGGAAAAAGCATGGCAAGAGGTAATCATCTGTGTTAATTTTACTTGGAACCTTAGAGGTTTTACTAAGGGGTTACTGGGCGTTTCCTTTTGCAATACATCTATTTTCAATCAATAAAACAGTTTTTCCTCTTTAAAGTTGGTTTCATATCAATTTTATACAGTGTAAGGGCTCAACACCTGAAACTTGGCCCATGCATTGCGCTACACTTCCTTGAACTTTCCGTCACCCAGGGACAAGTAACTCCTGTGACTGGCAACTCAACCTCTAACCATAAGTTTCTGGTAACTAGTGACTGCTTTTTGCTCATTTTCCATCGATCATGATTTCTCCCGGTTTTCTACACTTTCATGCTCATCTTAGGCGAGAAGTCCTGTATTTTTTGTGAACCACCCCACAATCCTCTTCCCCTTTTGTCTTCGTTAATGTCCCAAATAATTTAGAATATCAATTGTCATGCAATGTGCTACACCACAATCTCAGTTCTGGGGTCGGCTGAATGCCATAATTCAAGACTAACAACTAAGGCAGGATGTTTGCAATGAATCCATCGATGAGGCCTATACTGATGAGCTGAAAGCTTGAAGCCTAAATTTTGCTGAGTTGAATCCAACTTCAACGAGGCGAACCCAATTTCACCACAATTTTGAACCTTGTGATTTGTCAGTTCATCTGTGAATTTTTATCTTGAATTGTTTGTTGATTTCCTTCCCTATTTAGGATTTGAATCTTGTATGAGATATGAAGGGGTTAGTGTTCAACACTGAGTTTATATAAAATAATATTCAAAGTTATTATTATTTTCTCTATATCTTTTAACTAAACTTCCACAATCCCTCAACAACAACAATCAAGCCCTATTCCACTAAACGGGGTTGGCTACATGGATCAAACGTTGCCATAATGTTTGATCAAAGACCATATTTCTATCCAACTCGTTAAACTTGAGATCTTTCTTAATAGTTTCGCTAATAGTTTACGAGATCTCCCTCTACCTCTAGTTGTTTGACTACTTCATTTGATCTACTCTGTTTACAACATAATCCACACGTCTTCTCTCTATATGTCTAAACCACCTAAGCTTATTTTCCTCCATCTCTTGGTCTACATGCGCTACCCCACCCTCTCTAATATTGTCATTTCTAATATTATCTCGTCTAGTCTTACAACACATTCAACACAACAACTTCATCTCTGCTATACTTAGTTTACTTTAGTGTTGGTTCTTTATCGCCCAACATTCCATAGTCCACAATTCCAACAATATAAATAATATTTTAGAATATAGGGCATCCCACAATCTGTACTCCAACAGTTCCAGTTTCAAGGATGGTTGCTCCGCCCCACAATACAAGATGGACAGCATAGCTCTAGGTACATGGCCAAAATTTGAGATTTAATTGCGCAAACAAACTCTTGATATGTGGAATAAGAGTTTATGGTGAGTCAGTATCAAGTTGAGTAGGTTTAAAGGGGTTCCAAATAGATATTTGCGTATCCTTGTAGTTGGAGTTTAACATGCTGAATTCAACTTTGATTGGTGGATTTCGTTGTAACTTATATATCCCATCTTAAGTTAATTGTTTTAATTTGTTGTGATTTGAATTGGAGAATTTGAAATTTAAAACAATCTGTCTGATCCGTATGCAACATTGCTTTTATTTTTCTCTAATGTATTTTTATCTAACCCTATTATTTTTTATTGATAAGAAGCCTACATTGATCCCCACTAAAATAGTCTATATTGATTGTAAAAAGAGAAGTCTTTATTGATATTTTTGAAAGAGATGTTTGAAATGTTCAATATAGTTTGTATTTCAAAATTAGATATTACCGTATTCACACCACCGTCAGAATAAGTTCTACAAATATTTGTCAAGAATGTTTTACACAGTCATGTTCTATGAGTTTGATTGCAGGAAAGAAAGTTTTCAGTCGGAAAGCAGATCTTCAGGAAATCATTGAACATTTCAATGTAGGCTTTCTCTCATCTCTGACACTGTTTTTGTAATTCTTGAATTGTTGTTCGGCTCTGCTTCTCACTAACTTAACATCACAAACATTATTAGTATTTGCATGCTTGGTTTCTAATGCTTCTTTATAAAGATGGATGTTTGAGCTTCGAAGAACCACCTGACTCTTGACTAGTTCATAATGACTAATTTTTGTCCCATAAAAAAGTGATCAATAATTATATTGAAAATTTGGGAAGGCCTCAGTTGTGTATGTATGATTAAGATGGGGTTTTCTATCAATTTGTTCAGCTAATAAGCAACAAATCTTTTGCAATGCCTTTTATTTCTATTCCAGTGGTTTTCTTTGTTTTTGCACCTATTTAGTCTATTTGTTTTGCAGATTGATGTGGAAAATCCGTGTGTGATAATGAGTCAAGACAAAAGCAGAGAGTTTTTGCATTCTGGGAATAACAAAGATAAATTTAAGGTGATCTCTTCATGTTGGTGTTTTTTCGTTGTTGATAAAGCTTCTTTAGAAGCTCTGCTAACACTTTTAGTTAAAACAGTTCTTTTACAAGGCGACACTTCTTCAGCAAGTCAATGATCTTCTAGAAAGCATTTCCAATGAAATAGCTATTGCACGTGGAATAGTTGAAGAATTGGAGACTGCAATAAAACCTATAGAGAAGGAGCTCAACGAGCTGCAGGTTAAAATTAAAACGATGGAACACGTTGAACAAATTTCCATACAGGTTCAGCAGTTAAAAAAGAAACTTGCCTGGTCATGGGTTTATGACGCGGACAAGAAACTTGAGGAACAAAATGTAAAGATCGAAAAGCTGAAGAGCCGGGTTCCTACTTGCCAAGCTAAGATTGATAAACAACTGGTATGTATGCCTATATTATTGTCTCATAGTGAAGTTTTCATAGGTCAACCCAATGTGAAGTTCTCTTCGTGGTTCAAGAATATGACATTCCTTACTGTGCTCTTAATGTGATACTAAGACTTACGTTGGGAATTTGCTAGGGTGTCTGTTTTTATTGCCCATTTTGACAAGAACTGCCCAAATTTACTACATTGGAAACTTACGTTGTTAGGTTTATAATGGCAAATAACTGTTAAATGCGTTTCATGTGGGATATAATCAAAAGTATGCAGTGAACTTTATATTTGGGATAGAACTTTGTATATTACGTTATTTATTTCCTATGGTGCTCTACTCATAATCATTTAAAAGGAGTTTGCCTGTCTTTTTGGTTTTCTTTCTTATAAGCATTCTTTTCCGCTCTCTTGTAAATTTCGTTCTTTTCTAGACTAGTCAAAAACTTAAAAAGGCCGTTGCACTTTCCTTGCTGTAATGACAAGTTAATCATATTGATGTGAAAATTTGGTCAAACTTGTATGAACGTATGAGTTCTAAACTCCTTGGCTTTTTTGCTAAGTGAACACAGCTTGTACTTTCAGCTTTGTTTTAGTTAGATAGCGCCACCTCATAAGCTCAGTTCTGTTTTGAGGTGTGCCATGTCAGCTTGAGACAGTTTTAGCTGTTTAACTTGCTGAGCAAGTTTGTTACAGCAGGGTGTAGGTTATTCCCAGCAGTGTGCAGTATAAGGATACTACAAATGCTGTAATCTCTAACGGTTTAAGTCAGTTTATAGAATATTCAAAGGAATACGAAGTTTCATTTCTCAGTTTTCTCTGTAACAAAACTTAATTATGATGATGCTGGTAGTATTAGTTGTTCATTAAAAGATCCACCTTTTTAATGATATCTTTGCTTGGATAATTTGAGCTTTGATCCAAGCCATTATGATTTACCTTTGTGCAATATGTTTTATTTCCTTGAGTGCGTTTACAACATATTTCATGTCAAGTTTTGAAGTGCATAATATGTCCCATTTACTTTTGAGAAAATGTTTTCCGTTTTCCTTTCATGTTCTTACTTTTAATTAACAAAACTGCCATAGAAAAAGAAAATAGAAAATGTTTTGATAAATCAAATAGACCTGGGATTATGGTTTTATCAACCTGGTGTTTTTACCTCAAGTATTGTCAACTTCAATAATTTAATCGTTTGTCTTTTTATGATGCATCACTTTATTATTACCCCAAGGTTAGTGGATGGAGGAGTTTCACGTCCAACCTGCATTGCTTTTGGTCTAACTAATGTAAAATATTATTCTGTGTTACTAAACAACAGTGCTATACAGCTTTCTGCTTATATTGTTATTACATGTGCCTGGCTTTAAGACACCCTTTAAGACACCATCATTGTTCATTTCTGCAATAGCTCCTTTAGTTTATGTAGACTCTTAACATATCTATCTGTTACTACTATATTCACTTTCTTTTGGCCGATATTTTATTCTGTAGTTAAACTGGACTCTTATTTCGTTGCAGCATCAGCTTGAAAAATTAATCGAAAACTGTTCTGCGAAGAAAGCTGAAATTGCAAATATGATGACATCACAAGTAAAGCAAATGAAGGAAAGTTTAAGTCGCTCGATGTCCTTGGTATGTTGGATGTGGGAGGTTTTACTCCTACTCCCCCTTAGATGAAAATTTCATTTTGCAATTCGGCAAAACTTTTCCATTACATGCTTTACCGGTTTTTATTATATGTTTGTTTACTCTTTTAACTTCCACCGTATATATGTCATTTTATTTAATCTTTGTCAGGTTTACTTTTTTTAGTACCATGACTATTTTATTTGAAGTAAACTAGTACTCCCAGAGAGAGAAAATAATATCTTATGGAGAGATCCAGAAATTAAGAAAGGAACTCAAAGTAGAAATGTTTTCTTTAAAGCTGTGCATTCATTTTCTTAAAAGTTTAAAATTTATTTTTTCAATCCTCAATTTCTACTTTTAGATTGCTTCACATGCGCCCTTGGGGCACAAGTTAACATGATCCTATAAGAAACTCTTGATATTATGTTAGAGTATCATAGTTTATCTCATAGAATTAATTCTAATCTTCGAGTATCATAGATTATCTCCTAAGATTAGTTTACATATTACTTATTTCTTATCATGATTTGTTTCCCGGTTCCCTTGTTTATTTTGGATCAGGAGTCTTATAATCCTATGAATAGGGTTCCCTTGTTTATTTTGGATCAGGGGTCTTATAATCCTATGAATAGGGCTTAGTGTTTAGAATGCCGAATCATCAAGTACACCATTACCATACTCATAGTCTTTTTATATCTCTTCTCTTTATTGTATACTAGCATCCAGACGGGCACGTGTACCCGTCTGTCCGCTTTCTTTAGTGCACAAATGGGTGAAAATATGAACGGTATTTTTTATATATTAATTTTTAATTTTAAGTTAGTTCTTTATAAAATAATTTAAAAAATAGAATTAAAGAGATATAAAAACTGCCATATAACACAGTAAAGAGAAGTTGAGGTTAAAAACAAAAACTGTAAAGGGTATAATTGGAACAAAAATAGGCTACACCAAAACCATGTTTTGCCCTTTATATATAGTTATGGATAAAACACATAATTTCAACAAGTTACACGATGGGCTTCTAATCTTAGAGTATCTTAGTTTATCTCCTAGGATTAGTTTACGTGTTACTTACTTCTTATCATGATTTGTTTCTTAGGATCTCCTAGGATCTAGAATAACAAGTATCCATGTATTGCGGAAGCTCTGCCGATTTAAAACCCGATTCTATTTTCCGATTTTATTTTGTTCTTGTTATTCCCTTTCCTTTCAGAACCTTTAATAGCATTTCCAACATCAGGAAATTGCTATTGTAGTTAGGATTTCTTTCAAGCCTCGGCATTTTGTTTATTTAATTTTCATTCCGACGTTCCGATCTTACCGGCTTGTGGAAGAAGGATCTAGGATACTATTACTTGTCAGGTTTTTATCGTATTCAATATAATTGCAATTTATTTATGTTAAATTTCTGTTCTTTATTTATAATGCATGTGTTAATGTTTTCTGATTTTATTTCCCGCATTTTAATTCCGACCATTATGAGTAGCTAAATACCCGTAGTCGGGGTGTGATGAAATAACCGAATGAATTAATGTATTTCTAAGCTAAAACCTTAATTAACTTAATTTCTGGCCGTGACTTTTTTATAATTAAAAATTAAGCTTTTCCTTACGAGAGTAAGGAAAGTAAAATAGGGAGAAATCAAGACCACGAGAGTGTGAGGTTTTAACCGGATAGTTAAAAGCTCACACTCTCGTGGTCTTGATTTCTCCCTATTTTATTTTCCTTACTCTCGTAACAAAAAGCTTAATTTTTAATTATAAAAAAGTCACGGCCAGAAATTAAGTTAATTAAGGTTTTAGCTTAGAAATACATTAATTCATTCGGTTATTTCATCACACCCCGACTACGGGTATTTAGCTACTCATAATGCTCGGAATTAAAATGCGGGAAATAAAATCAGAAAACAATAACACATGCATTATAAATAAAGAACAAAAATTTAACATAAATAAATTGCAATTATATTGAATACGATAAAAACCTGAAAAGCAATAGTATCCTAGATCCTTCTTCCACAAGCCGGTAAGATCGGAATGTCGTAATGAAAATTAAATAAACAAAATGCTGAGGCTTGAAAGAAATCCTAACTACAATAGCAATTTCCTGATGTTGGAAATGCTATTAAAGGTTCTGAAAGGAAAGGGAATAACAAGAACAAAATAAAATCGGAAAGTAGAATCGGGTTTTAAATCGGCAGAGCTTCCGCAATACATGGATACTTGCTATTAAAGGTTCTTGGTATTGAAGTCACTCGACTCTCTAATGGCACTCTCTTCCTATCTCAAACTAAGTACATCAAGGATCTCTTGGTTAAGACTAACACGAGTGAAGCTAAAAGATTGCCTACTCCTATGGTGTCTAATCTGAAACTGACCAAGCAAGGATCAAACTATTTTCCAAACCCCAGTATGCTACCATCACAAGACCTGAAATTAGCTTTTTTTGTCAACAAAGCTTGTCAGTTTCTATCTCAGCCTATGCAGAGTCACTGAGTGGCTGTTAAGAGAATTCTGAGATATCTCAGAGGCACCATTCATCATGGTCTGCACTTTCTTCCTGCAAATCCCCTCAAACCTTTGCCAATTACTGCTTTTTATGATGCTGACTAGGGATCAGATCCTGATGACAGGAAATCTACATCAGGTTCATGCATTTATCTAGGCCCTAATCTCATTTCCTGGTGGTCTGAAAAGCAGACACTTGTAGCCAGATCCAGCACCGAGGCTGAATACAGAAGCCTGGCTAGCACTGCTTCTGAAGTGCTTTGGGTACAGTCCCTCCTAACTGAGTTGCAGATTTCATCTTTGCCTCCAACTCTCTACTGTGATAACTTAAGTACTGTATCTTTGTCTCATAACCCTGTGCTTCATGTCAAAACCAAACACATGGAGCTTGATATTTTCTTTCTCAGAAAAGGTTTTAAATAAAACCTTATGTGTAAAGCATATTCCTGCTGAGTTTCAAAGTGCTGATATCCTAACCAAACCCCTTTCTACCCTCAGATTTCTTGCTCTCAGAGATCACTTAAGGGTTGTTGACAAGTCTTCTATTGCCAATGGGCATCCCAAGACAGGAAGCACCATTTGAAGGGGAAATAATAGAGTAATCATATAGCTGTTTGTTTATAATAGTTAATTGTAGTTTGTAATAGATATATTCTACAGTTAGCTTAGCTTGATGAGCTGGCAGTGACAGTTGTCACTGCAGCCTCTATATAACAATCTAATTGTAACAAACTCATCTAAGAGAGTTTCTATTAAATCTGTTAGATATCGGAATATTTCATATTATGTAAATAGAATATTCTGTAAGTAATTAGGATATCATGTAAATAGGAAATAGAATATTATGTAATTATTATAGAATATTATGTAATTACTATGGCATTTATGCCTCCTATTATATATAATGAGCTCCGATGTGTAATTCAAACACACAGATTCACTCCAACCTTCCTCTTGTTCTCTCATTATTCAACATGGTATCTAGAGCCTAACAAGAGGCAACCCTAATCCGTGCTTTCTCGGTAGATCCACTATCTATCGGCGTCAAATTTTTTTTTCCGGTAACCGTGATTCATCTCCGGTTTCCGATATTCCTTCTCAGATCTTCCATTTTTTTTTGTCACTTCTCTCACCGTTTTTGGAATCCATGGCCGCCGTTCCCCCTCCAAGGGCTGAGGCCCTTATTTTCACAAGTTATATCACTACTCCTCTTGCCATTGACAAATTGGACGGTACTAACTATGATTCTTAGGCTTCCGACGTCAAGTTATGGCTCCGGGGACAGGCCTATGAAGATCACCTCACTACGAAGGCTGACTCGGTGGCTGCCACTGATAATGCTCGTTGGAAGAAAATTGATGCTCAACTCTGCAGTCTCATTAAGTCGACTATTAGTCCATCCTTGAAACAGATCTTTCGTTCTCATGAGACTTGCGAATCTGTTTGGGCACAAGCTAAGATCCTTTATACCAATGATACACAACGCTTATATGGAGTGTGTCAAAATTTGCAGAATATTATTTCCCCTCGTCAACTTGATGGTTCTATGGCTGAATACTTGGGTCGTGTTCAAGGTCTTCTTCATGATTTCAAGGTTATACACAGCTGTTTGTCCTAGATTATGGTGACACCTTCTCTCCCGTGGCTAAAATGGCCTCGGTTCGATTATTTCTCTCTATGGCAGCTATTCGCCACTGGCCCCTTTACCAGCTTGACATCAAGAACGCATTCCTCCATGGTGATTTGTGTGAGGAAGTTTATATGGAGCAACCTCCTGGGTTTGTTGCTCAGGGGGAGTCTTCTGGACTAGTTTGTCGTCCTCATAAGTCTTTGTATGGACTTAAGCAATCTCCTAGGGCTTGGTTTGAGAGATTTAGCACTGTTATTCAAGAGTTTGGTATGACGCGATGTGAAGCTGATCATTCAGTGTTTTATCGTCACTCAGTTGTTGAGTGTATTTACTTAATTGTGTATGTGGACGACATTGTCATTACAGGTAATAATCATCATGGAATCACACAGGTAAAACAACACCTTTGTCATCATTTCCAGACAAAACACCTCGGCAGACTTCGTTATTTCTTGGGCATAGAGATTGCCCAATCCAAACGGGGGATTGTGATTTCACAAAGGAAGTATGCTATGGATATTTTGGAGGAGACAGGACTGTTAAATTCCAAGCAAGTTGACACTCCGATGGATGCCAATGCTAAACTTATGCCAGCTCAGGGGGAGCCACTCTCCGATCCTGGAAAATATAGAAGATTAGTTGAAAAACTGAATTACCTCACTGTTACTCGCCCAGATATTTCATTTCCTGTTAGTGTGGTAAGTCAATTTCTTAACTCTCCTTGCGAAGGGCATTGGGAAGCTGTGACTCACATCTTGAAATATATTAAAGGAGCTCTAGGAAAAGGCTTACTCTATGAAGACAAGGGACACACTCGAGTTGTAGGATACTCAGATGCAGATTGGGCAGGTTCTCCTTTTGATAGGAGATCCACCTCAGGTTATTGTGTTTTCTTGGGTGGTAACTTAATTTTCTGGAAGAGTAACAAACAAAGTGTAGTGGCAAGGTCAAGTGCGGAAGCAGAATATCGAGCCATGGTAACAACAACCTGTGAGCTTATATGGCTTAAACAATTGCTTCACGACCTGAGATTCGGGGATGTTTCACAAATGACACTTATTTGTGACAATCAGGCAGCTCTGCATATTGCATCAAATCCAGTGTTCCATGAGAGAACCAAACACATTGAGATTGATTGTCATTTCATCAGAGAGAAGATTTTATCTAGAGATGTCAGCACTAGTTTTGTCAATTCAAATGATCAGTTAGCTGACGTTTTCACTAAGCCTTTGAGAGGTCCTCGAATTAATTATATTTGTAACAAGCTTGGTGCATATGATATATATGCTCCAGCTTGAGGGGGAGTGTTAGATATCGGAATATTCCATATTATGTAAATAGAATATTCTGTAAGTAATTAGGATATCATGTAAATAGGAAATAGAATATTATGTAATTATTATAGAATATTATGTAATTACTATGGCATTTATGCCTCCTATTATATATAATGAGTTCCGATGTGTAATTCAAACACACGGATTCACTCCAACCTTCCTCTTGTTCTCTCATTATTCAACAAAATCAATAACAAACTATTATTCTCTCTCTATGTTCAGTTTATCTTTCTCTATTAAAATAATGTAGACGCATACAAATATCAGGAGTATTCTAGTTATTTGGGAACTAATTATGTTCTTTCCAACACTTTTCCTGTATTATATATCTCACGTGCACCAATCTTGTTATATAACTTATCCAACAACCTCTCGGAGACTCTGAACACATCTTGGTTGTCATATAAACTGACCAAGAGAGATAATGTCTCTAGATAAAATTGTCTATACTGAAATAATGATTATCTTAATGCGTTATGCCGTGTCTTGAAACATCTGATTTGAATTGATATGTAAAGCCACATTCTTTCTAATAATTTTCGTTAGGGTTAAATATATTTTTAATCGTTAAAAAGATTTTTTATTCACTATTAATCTTTTTTATTTTATTAAACAAAAAACAGACACTTCAAGCCCCTCCAAACAGTCCCTATGAAAACCCAAACAGGGACTAAAAGTAAATGAAGTTTATTCAGGGACCAAACTTGGAAGGCCATGATTTTATAGGGACTAAACATATTTAATCCTTTTTGTTACACTGCTTTTGATTTTTGTAACAAATATTAGTTGTTTTGGTTGCTAATGCATTGTCCCCCTTCTAAAAAAAATTATGAAGGCAAAAAAAGAAGTATATGAACTACAGCGAGACTGCAATCGCAAAACTAGTAACATACAGAAGATGGTACAACAGCTCAAAAGGCTTGAACTACAAATGCAGGATACTCACGAGCAGCATTTGAAAAATACCCAGGTTCTACAAGTCACTATTATGGATACATTTAGATTATGGTTCTTTCTTGCCTTTTTCCATGTCTCTGCTACTATTTTCTTTATGGTGATTTTGCTTGGTTTTACAATTTTTTTTGCTTTTGTTCCCTCTACTGTTGTTGTCTTGTTTGAGGATTTCTTATCATCTTCCAATTTTCTATGCTTATCATTTTCACAACAATGCAGGCTGAAGAATTTGACATGGAGGAAAAACTGAAGCAGCTTCGAGATGAGTTTAATGATGCTAAGTCAGAATATGATAGGTTTTGATTTTATTCGTGTGGCTTTTCATATCAGTGTTTAACTTGGATTTGAAGAAGTCCCACTTCCTAATATTACTTTTTTGTTCTAGACTGAAAGAAGAAGAGGCTATGTTAATGAACAGCAGAAATGGGCAAACTGACGAAATCAGAAGGATTGATGTTAAGGTGTGATAGCACTTTTGCTGTATCATTGGTTTTTAAGACAAATTAATTTTTTATAAAGTCATTTAAGTTTCTACTTAGTTGATTAAAACATAATAAGATAAAACTAACATAATTGTTAGCCTTCTTGTCATATGGCAAGACCCTACAAGCATTCTGTCATCCTCTCAGCATATTTTTGGCGGCAAAGATCATTCGCAAATGGCTAAAATATAGAGCATAAACTCAACTTAATTTTTAATAGGGTCCAAACTTTAAAGATCACAAATTTGTAGGGAATAAAAGATATTTAACCCAAAATTATAACATCCCCCCTTTCATTCATAAGTAATAAGTGACAACATATACTGTGTAACTCTAAAGGGCTTTGTCTGTTTTGTCTTCCTTATACCTCATAACTCTTAAACCATGCAAATAATTGCTCTTAACTCTACGAACAAATCCACATATGGAACGGTAGTATTAAAGCCTACAACATATATACCAGTGCAGCAGCCTAAAAGTAGTTGTTTCCTGTTTCAGAATCTGAGAAAATATGCATGGTCTCCAAACCGGCTGCAAATAATTCAAATTTTGTTTTGGAGAAGTAACTTTTTTTCTTTTGAAATGGCAAATCGTAGTTAATAGTTTGTGTTAAGAGTCTCACATTAGACAATCTATGGCCTGGACATGTCTCCAAAGCCAGTTTTGTAGGGCTGAGTTAGGTCCAACCACATTTTCTTATCATGGTATCAAGAGCCTCATCTATGATTCGGTGGGCCACCTGCTATCAGGTTTTCGCTAATAGGCCATCCACCATTTATTTCCACGCTCCAGATGTCCAGTTCTAGACGTGAGGGGGTGTTTTAAAAGTCCCACATCGTACAATATATGGCCTGAACATGCCTTTATAAATAGGGACAATCCTCACTCTACAAGTCAGTTTTGTAAGGTTGAGTTAGGCCCAACCACGCTTTCTTATCTGTTTGTTTGTGGGAGAGTTGATCCCAAGACCTCTTTATCACTTCAACCCTTATGTCATTTCCCAAATTTCCAAGCCACCTTATCTCTCCCAAAATTTATTAAATGTTTTGGAGAAGTATCTTATTATCCTGGATTGTTAGTAAAGTTCACCAGTGTGATTTGAGTGATTGCTCATATAAAATTTTAGTCGGCACTTATTTGTATTGAATGAAGTTGAGGAAATTCACCTATGCAACATAAGCAATATTAATTTGATGTGCTGTACGAGATACTTCTGATGTTAAGCATTCTCTTGCATAGTTTAATTATAATATCCTTTTGAAAGCTCTTCTATTCTTTATAGGTTGTTTATTAATATAATTTATCTGCTTTTGCTAGATCCAAGATCATGAAAAGAAGTATAATGAAATCATGCATAATATTCGCAATCTTAAAAACCAACAAAGCAACAAGGTATGCAAATCTTGCTATTTTGGTTTTTATGTTTATTCATTTTGCTTTGTTCCTCGACAAATCATGAAAATGCCTTGCATGCTGGCTGTGAGTGGTTTATGACACTGCCAATCTTTTTGGAAGCAGATCACAGCTTTTGGAGGAAATAAAGTGATTAATCTGTTACGTGTAATTGAGAGATATCATCAAAGGTTTAAGGTGCCTCCTATTGGTCCAATTGGTGCCCATCTGGTAATATAGTTTGTGTTGCCTTCATGTCATATTTAACACATTGCTTTCTATGTGTATCTTTTCTTCACTCATTTTGATAGTTGAGGAGTTAAATGAAATGAATGAATATACTAATATGTAATAATCCTAATCTCACCGGTTGCCAGTTTTTTTCTCCAGTGAATAATATTTGAGATAAGATGGTTTTGCTTTCTACTTTTTTGTTATACACACATGACTATGTTTACTTGTTAGATGATGATATATAGAAGGCTCTATCCTGAAAATCTTTTTTCTGTCTCTTTTCCTAGGCTGTTTGCTAAACTGTGCAAAAGTGTTCACTGCTTCTTGTTTACACTTTCTATCTCTAATTTACTCTTTGGTCTATTACCATTTCCAAGTTAAAATCAACACTTACCATTATTTGGTATTGCTTTTTATGATTTAATTTAATGGAAGTTGCTTAATTTGATAAATGGGTGATTGGTGTTAATTACTTCATTTCTTTGTGGAGTTATCATTATTTGAGACTGATTTTTTTATGGTTTAACAGAAGTTGCGTAGTGGTAACAAATGGGCGGTTGCTGTTGAACATGCTATTGGGAGAATGCTCAATTCTTTTATAGTAACTGATCACAAGGATTTTCGTCTTTTGAAACAATGTGCAAAGGAAGCAAACTATGATCGTCTTCAAATTATTATTTATGATTTTTCAACCCCAAGGTATATTGTTTGGTCTATCTGTCTGCCTATCACCATACCCTATTGTGTTATTATATGCCTTGTTTCTTTTTTATATCTTGTGTCTGATTGTGATCAAATTGTTTTATTCGCTGCTTAGGTTGATGATACCAGAGCACATGCTTCCTAATACAAACCATCCATCAACTCTTTCCATCTTACAATGCGAGAATGACACTGTGGTTAATGTCTTAGTAGATCTGGTGATTGCTAAAATTATTGTTTATACTGCATTAAATATCCCTTTTCAAGGCTTTTTTATTGCTTTATAGAAACACATGAGCTTTTAGATATTTTTTTCATTTTTTCATTGGTTCTTTTTCCCATTCTTTACCAAACCCTGCTTTGGGGTTGGTATGAAGTTATTTTATTTTATTTTCTAGCTCTTCATCAATCACCATTAATATTAACTAATTTGAAATATTTATATTATTAATTTTATACTCAGTTCCATTTGTTCTTACTTCTTTCGTATATTGATCTATAGCTGTTGCATTATTGATTTTTTTTCCTTCGGTTGTATAAAATGTGGGTGAAATCATAGAAGCCAAAATTTTGTGGCAATTCTTTTTCTTTTTTGGTTGTATGTGCATGGAATATAATTCTCACTTCTTTAAGGGTATTTTTTTTTTTGGATGAAAATCTCCTTTGAGATAACATGGTGTTTCTTTTAAGGTTTGGATGAAAAACTGCTTTTGGCTTGTACTTTAGGTGAAGCCCATGGTGTTTTTACCATGGGTTTGGTTTAGTGGAATCTGTAGAGTTTGGGTGACTTTGTTTCATTGGATATTTTCTTTTTTTTTGGGTTTCCTTTTTATTGCCGTATTTTGGTTTTAATTGCAAGTACGATCTCTTTTCGTCGTAAATTAGCGGTCATATCTCCCTACTGTAGAAGAAGCATAATTTGGCTAAGCATTTAAATAGGAATATTTCCAAGTTCCTAGTATTTTGTTACCATTTCTAATGTCATTGTTGCTCTCTAGGGAAATGTTGAGAGACAAGTGCTAGTTAATGACTATAATACCGGGAAGGTTGTTGCCTTTGAAGAAAGGATCCAAAATCTGAAGGAGGTCTTCACTTTGGATGGTTGTAAAATGTAAGTCTATATTGGTTCAATTTGCCTTCCAAGTTCATGTGTCTACATGTGCATCTATTGTAAATTTAAAATGTGATATTGTTATGGATTCATAGGTATGCCACACCTTAGACTGAAATACAAAGCTGATCTGTACATCTACATATAAAGTAGACAAAATAGTTATCTAATTAAGTGGGAAATAGCTCGGGGTTCCGATTTTTACTGATTAATTTCTGTTGTTTTGTGTTTGTTCCTAGCAATAGATTTCCTGCCATGGTCTTTGTTAGAATTATTGAAAATGGGATAATTATGTACTAGGACTAATTAGGGTAATTGTAAATCCTTGTATTTATGATTCCTTTGTATATGTAATATCTCCTGTGTAGCTATGATGACACATTCTCTCATGTTTTCTCGTTTTCCTCATCCTCAATGTGGTATCTAGAGTCTAATGAAAGACGATCCTAGTTCATGTTACCTACCAGGTGGGCTCGGTGTTTATTGTTGCAAAATATTTGTTGGGAATTTTTTTTCCTACCTGCCTGATTTTTACTTTTTTTGAATGTTGGTGTCAATTTTCGAGCGATCAACCCCACTATTCAAAGCACCCTTCGCCAGTCAGTGATGCGCATATACAAACCATTTATTCATGCTGTGAACTCTGAAATTGCTGGACATCTTTGCCTCACGTGCTACATCCTCTGTGGTCGATTTTTCCACTTCAAAAAGTCAGTTGCTTTTCCTTGCCCCCACACTTTTCCTCACTTGACACTGCTGGAGCCTCACTTTCCAAACTCTTGGTTTACTAACCTTCTTGGGTGTTCTTTCTTTCTCTTCTTTTCTGAACCATGTCGGGTTGAGAACCTTCAAAGGCCGACCATCCTTGTATTTTACCAACTACGCTAGTGCTCCACTCTCATTCGATAAGTTTGATGGGAAACTACTAAGATATATGAAATTCTAACTTTTATTTTGAGGCCATGACCATGACCAGTGTTCTCAAATTGCGGCCATTGCGGTTGCGGAAGTTCAACAATCCGCAATGGAAAAGCTATGGCGTTGCGGATTTTGCATTGCGGCGCCATGGCGGCCGTCACGAGTTTAACGTTCATGGCGGTATTGCGGAAATGGCGGAAATTGCGTGTTTTTTTTTTTTTTAATCTGAATGTTTATTGTTGGAATATTTTTTTACCCAACCCATAAATAGCCCAGAAAAAGAATAATTGTGGTTAAATATTTTTAATTACATTAAATACTAGTTACAATAAACAGCCCTTTTGATTCTGCACGCTTATATCTCTGACTTTTCTTCTTCTCGCTCTCTTTATATTCTCTATCACGTAATAAATAAAACTTTTCTTCTTCATTCTTTGTTCATTTTCTTCTCTTCTTTCTCTTTCCATTTTCTCTTTTTCAGTTTTTTATTTTTTATTTCTTCTTTTGTTTCTTTTTCTCTTTATATCTTAATGCTCCCCATTTGATAATAACTTCGAAGAAGATTATGTTGAAGTTAGAGAAGAAGATTAGAGATTTTATAATGTTTTATTGTTTTGTTTTATAGTGTCTCTTATGATGTTTAAGTTACCTATGAGTTAAGATATGTCCCATCTATTGATCATCTATTTGTTCAAGTAATATTCCTAAAATCATGATATATGAATGCTAGTTTTCTCCTTATATAATTCTGTTTCCCTATATAATTCTGTTATCTAAGTTATATTAATTTTTTGGTGTTGTTACTGTTTTTTGTTTTTTCTTTATTTATTTGATTTTTGGTGCTGTTGCTGTTTTTTTGAGCATATATTAATGTTTTTTGTTTGTCTGTCATGCTTCTGCAATTTTCTGTTCCGCCATCCGCCATAATTTTATGGTGGATTTTTGCCTTGCCGCAGTTTTCCGCAATCCGCCATAGACAACATTGACCATGACAACCGTCTTACATGAATTAATTGGAATTAATTGAAGTATTGCTCCTGACTGCCATTCATGCGAAGGAACTTGGTAGTAATTATAGAATTTTGTGTCTTAAGGTAGATCACACTACTTATATTTTTACTAGTGTTATAATAAATGCATTGAAGTTTAATGGATAAGCACTAACCTAGTTAATGAATAAGCACTAATCTAGGAAGTTGTTTAGTCTAGGAATACTATTAATCACTCTATAATATCTACAATCATAATTCATTCTGACACTCCTCCTCAAGCTGGATCATACATGTTATATGCACCATACTTGTTACAAATAGATTCAACCCGGGATCCTCTAAGGAATTTGGTAAATATGTCAGCCAATTGATCATTTGAACCAACAAAGTCAGTTATGATTTCTCCTGAAAGAACCTTATCTCTTACAAAGTGACAATCAATCTTTATGTGCTTAGTTCTTTCATGAAAAACCGAATTGGAGACGATATGAAGTGCAACTTGGTTGTCACAAGTTAGTTTCATTGCCTTGATGTCTCCTAATTTGAGTTGTTGGAGTAATTGTTTTAGTCACGTGAGTTCACATGTTGTTGCTGCCATAGCACAATATTCTGCTTCTGCACTAGACCTTGCAACTATGTCCCGTTTCTTGCTCCGCCATGAGATCAAATTTTCTCCAATGAGAATACAATATCCAGAAGTGGACCTTCTATCAGACGGTGATCTTGCCCAATCAGCATCAGAATAATCCATGACTTGGGTGTTACCCTTGTTTTCATAAAGTAATCTTTTACCCGACACACTCTTTATATATTTAAGAATGCGAATCACAACGTTCCAATGGTCATCACATGGAGCATTTAGAAATTGGCTAACCACACTAATAGTAAATATAATGTCTGGTCTGGTCAGTGTGATGTAATTAAGTTTGCCAACTAGCATCGATATCTACCAGGATCTTTCAATGGCTCCCCCTGACCTGGTAGTAGCTTGACGTTAGGATCCATAGAAGTATCACTAGGTTGGCAATTAAGCAAGCCAGTTTCCTCAAGTATATCAATAGCATATTTTCGTTGCGTGATAGCCACACCACTCTTGGATTGAGCAACTTCAATCCCCAAACAAATATTTTAGTAGTCCCAAATCTTTAGTTTGGAAGTGTAAAGACAAATGTTGTTTTAACCACTGAATGCCATCCTTATCATTACAAGTGATGATGATGTCATCAACATAGACCAACAGGTAGAGACAAGTGGTTGGAGAAGAATGCAAAGAGAAGATAGAGTAATCAGCTTCACATCTACTCATGCCATACTCTTTGAGCACAGTGTTAAACCTGCCAAACCAAGCACGGGGAGATTGTTTCAAGCCATAAAGAGATCGACGAAGCCGACAAACGAGGTGAGAAGCACCACTAATAGTGAATCCTGGTTGTTGAGCGATGTACACCTCCTGTAATTAACCATGTAGAAAGGCATTTTTGATGTCTAGTTGATGGAGCGGCCATTGATAAATAGCAGCTAAGGCAAGAAAAAGAGGACAAATGTGATCTTGGCAAATGGAGAGAAGGTGTCTCCGTAGTCAAGACCAAAGATCTGCGTGTATCCTTTTGCTACGAGACGAACTTTTAGACAACCAATCTTTCCATCAGGCCCAATTTTAACTCTATAGACCCATCGACAACCCACTGTAGTTTTTCCATCAGGTAGGGCAACCAAATCCCAAGTATCATTGGAGTGTAAAGCAGACATCTCATCGATCATTGCCTGTCGCCATCCAGGGTGAGACATAGCTTCGCCGCAATTTTCCGCAATCCGCCATAGACAACACTGACCACAACAACCATCTTACCATGGATTAATTGGAATTAATTGAAGTATTGCTCCTGACCGCCATTCATGCGAAGGAACTTGGTAGTAACAAAGCATTTCATGTTGGCCTTGAATCAATTACTTCCAAAGCATCCATTGGTTCTTAAAAAGATTTAGGTTGCCACACCATAACCTCACTAGAATTATGGGTCTCTCCGTGTCTGACATGCACCCATGTCCAACACTTCTATGATACATATTTGACAACTCAAACACGTGACACAAAGAACCAAAACTCAGACACATTTAAAAATATAGTTCTAAAAATTGTGGCTGAGTCTAACAAAACCGATTTGTAAGGTGAAGATTTCTCCCACTTATAAACATATGTGGAAGCCATATCTCATCCGATGTGGGACTCATAAGTCTTAGCACCCCCCCTCATTTTCAACACTATTGAACTTGGTCCATGAATATAGATGGTGAGTGGTTGATAGCAGAAACTTGATAGCACATGACCTAATGGATCTTGGATAAATTTTGATAACCTCTTGGGTAGGCTACCTCTTGGGTAGGCTTTGATACCGTCTTAAATTTGTGGTCGAGTCTAACTTAATCTTTTAAAACCAGCTTGTAAGGTGAGGAAATTCCATCTTGGATTGGCTCTGTTACTATCATAAAATTGTGGTTGGGCCTAATTTAAACTTTTAAAATCAGCTTGTAAGGTGAGAATTGCCCTCACTTGTAAAATTTAGATATTATTATTTTAATTAGGCGTTTGAAATGTTTTTGCTTATGAATGTCATTTCTCATCAGTGTTGTTGTTGGTGAAAAGTAAAATATCAGCCATATAAACCCTCCGTTGCTGCCTATGGCGCCACCATGGCAGGCACGCCTTCTCACATACACACATCTTCATCTTCTGCCCTACTCTATAGTAGGGGTTAAAGACTTATTTTTATTCTTTTTGTGTATAATACTCTTTGGCGTGTAATATCTTCTGTTCGATTTTCAATTTCCATCATGTTGAAAATGCAATATCTCTCTTTATGCGTATGAAACATCCTACTTTCTGCTGCTTTTGTTGATTCACTGTAAAAGGTTTTGTATGGGCTAGAACCTCAAGCTGGAAATTCCTAGTTATTAGATATACATTTAAGTGTTTTCCATCCATAACTTTTAACTATGTTTTCTAATCTAAGTTATTTCTAGGTTCTCACGAGGTCCGGTACAGACAACTCTTCCTCCAAATAAGAAGCAGCGATATGGTCGTCTAACTAGTTCTGTTGAAGCTGATATTGAGAAACTTAGTAATGATGCATTTAATGAGCAAAAAGACGCAAATGACTATAAACGGAATAAAAGAGAGGCAGAGCTCAAGCTTGAGGATCTAGACAAGAAGATGAATTCTATAAAGGTGAAACATTATTTAGATTATAGACCATTGTTATGTGATTTGCACAAAATTATGTTTCTAAAAATATATAATATTGCTTTGCTTACATAATTTTGTGCCATCTTGGTCTATCTAATGTAAGTTGAATAATCAGTTGTTAAAAAACTATTAGGATGGAATATAACTTTTCTATATAGCTAATTTTTGAGTTTTGTTTTCATAAATAGTAGTGACGAATTGAACCTTATTACTATCACAATAATAACAAAGAAAGCCTTTTTGGCTCTATCTTGTTCTAGCACGACCGTGTATCATCCCCATACCCCCATCTTTAAGCAAAATTCTATACATGAATCAATAGCCATATAGATAGAAACTTTAATACTCAGTCCTTTACTCTGGGAACTTGATAAACTATACCCTTTCCATTATTCATACTAGTAAACTTAAATATAGTCTCTATTGCATCAGTTTTGACAAACTATGGAATATGAATGCTATTATAATTATATGGAAAGCACCGTGGCAAATAGTGTTATGCTTTGTTCATCAGTCAAATACAGTTCATATAGAGAGATTGCAATCAATTCTCTCCCTTGAATCAAGGAGAGATTTTAAAAAACAAAATAATAACATAATAATAGAAAATTTGCACTTAAGAAAAAAGGAAGGAATCACATTCCAACACCCCCCGAGGTTGGTGCATACATATCTATCATGCCTAACTTGCTTACCAAATGCTCAAAGATGGGTGTTGCTAGGCTCTCGGTTAAAATATCCGTTTGTTGATTTGGCCGTAAATGGTAAACATATAATTCCAACATCCAATTTTTCTTTTATGAAGTAACGAGTAACATCAATATGTTTGGTTCTATCATGTTGAATTGGGTTGTGAGCTATGTTAATGACAACTTTACTATTAGAGAATAACTTTAACGAAAGCCCGACTGTCATCTCAATTCTCAAGTTCCTCGAGAACTTTGTGAACCCATAATCCTTCAAAAACTCCCAGAGACAACACCATAAACTCAGCTACTTCTTGCTACAACTCCTTGTTTTTCGCTTCTCCCTGTCACAAGGTTTCCCCAGACATAGTCACAATACCCATATGTTGACTTTCTGTCTGTTATTATTGACCATGCCCAATTTGCATAAGTAAAGCTCTAAACATTCCTTTCACTACTCTTCTTAAAAAAGAGACCCTTTCATGGAATGGTCTTCTATCATCTCAAGATTCTATAGACTGCCTCAAGATGCTCCTCATAAAGAGAGTACATAAATTGACTCTCCGGCAATATAAGGTCTAGTTTGAGACAAAAAGTTAGCTTACCAACCAACCTTTGGTATCTCTCGGTGTCAACAAGAACACTTGCTTTCTCCCAAAGTTTTGCATGAGGTCCATGGGAAGTCTGTTGGTCTACAACCACTCATCCATGTTTCTTTCAATAGACCCATAATATAATTTTGTTGTGAATCCACGATTCCTTTCTCTGATAGAGCAATGTCTTAACCTAGAAAGTATCTCAAGGCTCCTAAACCCTTGATTTCAAAGTCTGTGACTAAATCCTCTTTTACCCTTCCCATTTCAATTGTATTATCTCTAGCAAGGATAATATCATCAACATAGACAATTAGGGAAGCAAATTTCTCAGAGGGGGAGAATTTTGTGAATAAGGTGTGATTTGTATGTCCTTGAATGTACCGTTGTTTCTTCATAGACCGAGTGAACCTTTCAAACCATGTTCTAGGCGATTGCTTTAAGCCATAGAGAGATTTCTTCAATTACACACTTTTGGTCCAAATTTGTCTTCAAAACTAGGGAGGACCAACCATGTATTCTTCTTCTAGGTCACCATTGAGAAACTTCTTCAATTTACACACCTTTAATGTATCTGCCAGGTATCTGTGGAAAATACTTATGATCCAATCTTCTCACTTGTTTCCTTCATGAAATTTGTTAAAGAATAGCTCTTTTGAGCTCTCGAGTGCCTCTAATTCTATAAATAGGAAAGCCTTCATGAATAAACCTCATGTTAATGTCTACATAAAGCAAAAACCATGATTGCCACAAGTGTAATAAGAACATATATTGGGATGACCTAAAAATCTAACTTATTTAAATCCTTTATGTTGTAAATGGTATGTTTCATGCATGAAGAAAATAATTATGAACTTTAATTAATTGCATTTCCATATATCCCATATTTGTTGATGTGTACCTCATGTTCCATTTTTTCCTCTTTTTTAGAGACTTTGTACAAGTGCTGGAAGAACTTTTAGTTCTACGAAGATAGCTTTGGAGGAGAAAACAAAGGAACAAGCTGCTGAACGTAGCTCGACACCATTGTCCTCAGTTGATGAGATTGTTGAAGAAATTTCAGTATGTTCTGTGTCATCTATTCTCTAACAACACATTACTTGTTATAAGCAGTTTTGTTAAGAATCGAAGGCTCAATGCTCAACCATTCACTCTAAAACTATTCTGCTTGTTTGTTTGGGGGGCACACAGCGGGGGCCTGCTGTTCTGGAATTCAACTACTTGTATGTGTCTTTCTTTTTCCGTACACTTCTGGTGAAGGAGATAAGAAGAAAAAAATAGAGGAGCTTAGAGGAAGAAAATGCCTAACAACCTCACATCAAAGCCTTTGTTTATTTGTAATATAACCAATTTTGTTATATTGAATTTAAACTAATAATTGAGTCAAGAAATATGGACAAAGGAATTGTAGTGTTAAGTTGTGCATCTGCTTTTGAATTCCTCTCAAATTGTAGAACCATGTGAAAATCTTAGTGAGTTTATACAAATCTTAGTTGATTCAGTGAAAATTAATGTTATAAAGCTGGTAAATATGGAGGGAAAGCAAAATCAAACAAATAGATACACTACTAGAATTCCAGTTTTGTCTATAGCAAGTGTTTTGCTTCCCTGAGATTTGTTCCGGCCTAATACTTTTGGAAACATGGTTGACTGGTCACTACTGCATAATTTGATATTTTTTTAATCAGAAAGTTAATCAATGTTTTTGTTCTAATTGAATGCTAGGAAATAAACAAAAAAATAAAAGAAGAGCAGGTGTTGTTAGAAGGCCTTGAGCAGAGGAGGCAAGAATCAGTGGGAAAAGCAAATGACCTTAAAGTAAATTTTGACGAATTGTGTGGTATGAGGCATTACTAATTATTCCTTTTAATATGCTCATAAGCAGTTGTGTTTGATTCAACTGTAGAAATGTTGTAAGGTGCATAATCTCTTGTGTACCCTAATAATGTAGAATCAGCGAATAATGAACTTGCTTCACTTGAGAAAGCTGAGAGTGAACTTATGGAGATTGAAAGGGAAATAGATTCAGCGAAAAAGGTATTTTTTTCTTTATACTGGTGCAATGCTAAACCATCTGATAATTTCTATTATTACTTAAATAATTAATTTCTCTTTTAAAACTTACAGGCAAAAGATCATTATGATAATGTCATGAAAAACAAAGTCCTTCATGATATTAAGGTGGCAGAGGAACACAATCTGGAGCTTACAAAAAGCCGCGAGGTGCCATTTTATTTATATTAGTCATAGTCATCTAAATTTGTAGATTAAATCATTAGTGCCACTTTTTTTGGTTGAAGGAAAATAATTAAAATCCGACTGATCATTGAACTGGTGTGGTTCAAGTCTCAAAGATCTGATCGATGCAACACCTATAATAATTATTTTAATTTTTTAATATAACGTTAAAGGAAAAATAATATAAATTAAGTCCCACCTAAAAATATCAAAGTCAACTCAATAGCATACAAAATCACATTGAACCAAGTACTCCCCCGTAGTAATGTTAATGTTCATATTTAATTAAAAATTTTGTTATAATATTTGTCAAGACACATCGTTCACTATCAGCTGGTTTTTGGCCAGTTTCACGCAGGCCATATCCTTTCCAATGTGTGAGATTTAATGCACCAACTACTATTAAAAAGAAAAACAAATTAAACGAGGGCAAAAAATTTCATGTAATTAGGACCGGTGGGAGTATTTTCTAAATATATCAAGTAGCATCTATTCCATACTCCGGGACTGTTTTATTATGGACTGGCTACATAGACTAGAGTTACTGTGTTTTAAGTTTTAACCAATGCAGCCAACTGTTATAAATCAACATTAACAAATAGAATATTCTAGAATCTTGACGAGTAACAGAGTACTTCTCTTCCTGTAATTAACTGAGAGTTACAGCTGTAAATAATCAGTTAGTTACAGTATTCTACCAAACTAAACTGAGATACACCACATAGAGAGAAAGAGAAACTGAAAGTAACTGTATTCTTAAATATTTAATAAATAAGAGACTGCACTACATCTATATTTAGAGAGTAAGTTTGTGCTTTTTCCTACTCTGTTGCAGTTAGTAATTACTCTTAGCATGAGGTTTACTAGAGTTAGTTTGTGCTTTAACCAACACAGCTAACCGCTATTAACTTAAATAGAATATTCTAGGATCTTGATGAGTATATCGCCAGATGGATACTCAATCCTGCCACCCGAAGAGCATAATTCCGAAGACAACCTTATTGTTCTTTTAAAACCTGTGTAGAAGATATCAAAGGGTCGATAATTCTTAGGCATTATAAATCATTAAAGGTATAGTAGTAACTACAGTTGTTGATACTGACCTTGGTTGAAACTGCAGGTAAATGTTGAGAAGGCTTCCATAATTTGCTGTCAGAATGAACTTGCTACGATAGGTGGTTGTGATGGGAAAACCCCAGAGCAAATCAGTGCCCAATTAGAAAGTCTGAATCATACACTTAGGCGTGAGAGCCAAAGGCATGCCACTAGACTATTGTTTCACATTATCATAAGACTACATGCTAGCAGCAGTTCTCTTTCTCTCTCACTTTCTCACCCACATACACACACTATTCACACATTAAATAATGCTTTTGTTAATTTTGTTTCCCTCTGTAGATACTCCGAATCTATTGATGATCTGAGGATGCTATATGCAAAAAAAGAACGAAAGATTGCAAAAAGGCAGCAAGTTTACAGAGCCCTTCGACAGAAATTGAATGTATGTATTCTTTGGTTGTCATCTTATCACCGATACATTTATGGATATTGTTAGATAGTAAAATTATTTATGTGCTTGATCCCAAAAGCATATGTTTTTGTGAAGGTTTGTTTTTTGGGTTTGCATACTGTGTAATCTTAACCTGAAGTCAAAAGGCTCCTGCTCGAAGCATTGTATTAGATATAAAATCATTAATATGCTTTTATGTGCCGACATAAAAGTAAAAGCTTTTCATATAGTTGGTTCAGGAAAATTATATTAATTCTTGTAGGACATTTGCTTTTAACAATATTGTTTTGCAACCAAATATATTTCAAATAAAACAAGATAATGCAAATTAATACCTTATCTATGCATGGGCTTAGAACATGTTCAGATGTTTTATTCTGAAGTTGGATATCTAGTTGAGATATTATGATAATCTTTATCACTAACTTTTGGAAGGTTAGGATCCTTCTATGCCAGTATGCCGACATTTGTGTTTGAACTATGTTCCTTGTAGGACTTCTAATAATTCCTTTATAGAATTTTAATGCCAAACTCAAAGGTTTTTGTCCTAATTGTTGAGTTGTTTTAGTAAGATGGTTGATAGTCACTTAATATTTTCATTTTGAGGTTGTCTAATATGTGTAGAGTTGGAAAATAATTTTCTGAATATTATTTCAAACATTAGAAGAGTACAATCACTATCCGAATACCATACTACAAAATTTAAGATCATATGTACAATGTCTTAAACAATTTCTTTTGTTTAGGATGTGTCGTTATCATTTCTGGCCTCCACTGCCGTAGCTGCTCCTGTTATAATAAGTATAGTAAATTTTAGCTCGAGAGGAAAGTTGGAATCAAATGATCAAATTCATCATTTTTACAATTTTATTCAACAATTCATATCAGTTATCCATCCGTTCCTTTTTAAGGTTATTTACGTATACCAAGAAAACTAATGAGTTATTATTACCTTCAATGTAATAATTGTCTTTTCTAGTATCCTTAATAATTTTGTTGTGTCGATTCACTTATTTTTCTTTCAACAATAAATAGTTAAGAGTATTACTGACAAACCAATGATTAATGTTGCTTTGAACTTTAAAAATGACAAGTAAATAGAAACAAATAATTTTTACAAAAATGGATAGTTAAAATGAATAGAGGATGTACCATTTAATCATTTTTTAAATACACTATTATAAATAGAGGTGTGGGTTGATTTAGACACAATCACAAATTCAACATTTTTTGAATGCTTTTGTTGTTTATTGAAGGCCTGTCAGAGTGCTTTGGAGTTTCGAATGAGAAAGTTTCAGGCAAATGCAACTAATCTCAAGCATCAGCTTTCTTGGAAGTAAGAATCCTTTCACATGTATCTTCTTAGTTTCTGTTTTCGTTTAGAATGTGTGAGTTGGGTCTAACTCATGCCTACCAAACCGGCTTGTAAGATGAGGTTTGCCCAAGTTTTACAAACACTACACATGTCATTCTCTAAGCAATGTGAAACTAAATTCACCCCTTTAAACCAATGTTATCAAATAGAGGCGCCATGGCCGCTATGGCAAATATACATGGTGGTTTTGGGATTCGTCACAATGGTAAATATCGTCAGATATTGCGGGTTTTCCGCCATAATCTGCTATATCGGCGCCACAAAGCGGGCAGTAGAGCGGGATTTTGGCTCTCCCCCATGGATTGCCATTTGCCATCGACAACACTGCTTCAAATCCAACACAATATAGGTGTTGGTGGCATGTGAGACTAAATCCATGCTTTAAATCCAACACGATATAGGTGTTGGAGGCTGCAATGAAGGCAAGAAAAATGTTGCAACTAGGCAGGCGACAAGGGGAGGACAGCAAACAACAATCCAGTCTTATCTCACTAAGTGGGGTCAGCTACATGGATAAAATTCCACCATATAAAAGGAGGTTTGAACCATGGACCCTTGGTTGGATAAGACCGCTGGCCCGACCAACTGAGCCACAACATCCTTCAAACTTTTATTAGAGTCTGGTTTCAACCCAGGGACCTGTGGGTTATGGGCCCACCACATTTCTGCTGCGCTAAATTCCACCACCCCCTCACACGACCTCAATGAGCCTGAAGCATGGACGATGCGGGAAACCCAACAAGTGATAGTCATTGATATCATCTTAAAATGTGTGAGTTGTGCCTAACTCATCCCTACAATACCAACTTGTAAGGTGAGGACTATCCAAACTTTATATACACTATTTAAGCCATATTTCTAAGCAATGCGAGACTAAACCCACCCCTTCAAATCCAACAATATAGGTGCTAGAGGCTGCAATAAATACAAGGTGAATGCCGAAATTAGGCGATTATGGACGAACTGCAGTAAAGGCGAAAAATATTCCAACATTTTTAGTGTAAGAGGAGTATATTTTTTTTGCTTAAGATGGACTTATTTAAATTATCTTCATGGTCAGATTTAATGGCCATTTGAAAAAGAAGGGGATCAGTGGAGTTATCAAAGTTGATTATGAGCAGATGACCTTGTCGATTGAGGTAAATATTGTATTCTTTTGCAATAGGTATTCCCTTTTCAATTTACTTACCTGTGCCTTGCCTTGGACAAGTTTTTATGGTAACAAGATACAAATTGGTAAAGTGTTTCTTGTATTTCATTTCAGGCGTGTAACCTGAAATGCTTACTTATTTTAATTTATTTCTTTTGTTTTCAGGTACAGATGCCCCAAGATGCATCAAACAAAGCTGTTCGAGACACACGGGGGCTTTCAGGTTTGTCCGATTCCTAATGATTGTGTATTGTTAGCCATTATGTATAAGTTAGCCATCAGATACCTCTAAGTACTACTTAACTTTTATGTTATTTATTCTATAACTTTCTCACCTTTTGTTGTGTGTGCATTTATTTATTTTCTGATAATTAGGTGGAGAGCGGTCTTTTTCAACTTTGTGCTTTGCATTAGCCCTTCATGAAATGACAGAGTCCCCATTTAGAGCAATGGATGAATTTGATGTCTTTATGGTATGGCTGTTTTCTTCTGATAATTCACCATTATTATTTTGCCCGTGTACTCTAAATAAATAGTAATTATGTGTTGTTTTTGCTTATTTCGTGAAGTTTATAAGCATCAATTACACAAAGTTCTTAAATCTATTTATTAACAAGCTTTACTACTATGGAACTGGGTTTGAAAATCAGGATGCAGTAAGCCGAAAAATTAGCATGGATACTCTGGTTGATTTTGCTGTGGCACAAGGGTCCCAGTGGATATTGATCACCCCACATGATACTAGGTATTGGTTTCAATAATATACATGATAGATTCTTGTTAAATGTTGCATGAACTCGTTGTTCTGTACTTGGCCTACAATATTACTTTAAGCAAGTTGGATAAGCTCTCGATTCTTGACTGTAATTTGTGTTTGCACGTGCAGCTTGGTGAAAGCAGGGAACAGAGTAAAGAAGATGCAAATGGCAGCTCCCCGTTCTTGATCACATGTGATTCTCTATTTATGAAAATCTTCATTTTTGGTTCTTCATCTGCAACTTTATTTGCGTTTCATCATGTTACATATATATAATTATATATGTTTTACTTTTAATTGTGTTTTGTGGGCGAGAGCATGATGAAGCAAACATCCATATTTTAAATCATATTTTTAATTAATGTAAATAGTTAATATAATTTCTAAACCATGCCCCTTTTAAGCACTTTTCTCGTCTTTGATTGATGGAAAACTATAAAGTTTAAACAATTTCGGTCATAAGTTTGCATTGCCTGCGATTTTGATCCATATTGTTTTTGCTTTAGTAAATCCAGTCATTGTATTTTAAATTAAGCTAATGTTATCTTATTGATAATTTTTGGCACAAAGTATTGATTATATATGTCAAGCTAATGTTATTTTAAGTTAATGTAGAAAATGCTCTACAACTTGCAAGTGTCTGCATTGGATCAAGCAAAAGTTAGCTGACTTAGGGGTGGACAAAATCTATCTGTCTGAGAAAAACCCGATCCATTAGTGATTGGGTAAAGCAGTTCGGTTTGAGTCGGAAAACGGTTTGGTTCAGAACGCATAAAGGGATTACGGCGGATTGAACCGCCCGGTTTTGGATATTAATTTTGGGGCCATCGAAACCCAGGCCCGACCGATCAAACTTCATATTTGTTTATATAATATTATTACTCACTAGGGTTAAAAGAAAACATATGTTATCAGCTGCCACCCACTTCCATGTTTCCATATTTTTCCTTTACTCGCCGTAGCTTATTTTTCAATTCCTTCTCTTTACTCGCCGGAAATAATTCTTTTTGGCTGCAAAATAGAAACAGTGGAAGGCTTCACCATCAATTTTGTTTCTCACACTCACTATAAAGTTCAAATCCTAGAAAAATTTTACAATGAAATCAAGGTAATCGTAACTTAAAATCGTTCCATCCTCTTTGAAAGTTGTTTTCGCTCACTATTATACTTGATTTCTATGTTTGGACACATCAAATTTGCATCATTCTTTGTGATTTCTACCCTTTTTCTTTGGGTTAGGGTTTCTATGAATTTTATAGTTTCGGTATTAAGTAATAAACATGCATTTGAAGCATAATTCTTTGATTTCTTTTTTACTAAATTTTTGTGTGTTAATGTTGTGGTAGTTGTTCTATAGGTTTTTTTTATTAATTATGGAACATTAAAGGAACTGATGTTGGATGATTCCAAAAACTGATGCTCTAATTGGAGCTAGTACAAACCTTGGGATCGTTGGTAATAGTTAACCTAAAATTTTAAATCAAATGATAGTTGCTAATTATTCACACTGTAATTCTGTTTATGTCGGTAAAATGAGTTGTATTGAGTTTTTATTGTACGTGTCTTTTGTATTTTATGCTCATTGCACATGTTGAAAATTCTGTGTATATAAATTCTATGTAGATACATTTTGTGTAGATAAATTCTGTTTGAAAATTCTATTTGAAATTCTGTTTAAATTAGTAGATCATTTGACATTGAGATATGTAAATTATTTATGATAGCAAAATATATGAAATCCTATGCCTGGAGGAATGAATGGGCAGGTGGTAATAGCAACAAATAAATTATCTCGTTGTATGTTGAGAACTTAGATTATCCTTTAGCAATTGTGGTGCCATGGTGCTTATAGTAGAGTTAATTATTGCTTATTTTGAGAACATAGAGCTGGAAGATTTTGGCATTTTTATCTGTGTTTTACATTCAAAATCTATTTTCAAATTAAGGATTTGATGTTTCAAGCAATATTTTAAAAGCAGAATCACACAATAAATCTAAGAGACCTTTAAATCATAGTTGTGTCTCTTTAAACTATTCAAACTATTAGAAACTACAGTTGAATCCGTCAAATAACCAAACTGTCATAGTCAAATAACTAAATTGTCATAGTTGAATAACCAAACTGTCTTAGTTGAATGTAAGTATGTGTGGAGGATGAATGACAAGTTAAACTTAATCTTAGATCTATTTTATGTTTGAAATTTAAATGTGTTAATAAATAATGTCAATGGAAGATGGACATTCATGGCAATATTACTTTCTAGTTTGAAACATCAAATGCAGGAGTGGACTTGATTAGCATAACATTCTTCATAATTCAAGATATTATGATTCATGATATTTTCATGATTTTATTTGTAAAATATTGAATGTTTATAATATTTAAGGTTGTATAGTAATCTGTTTATATATAAGGATGAATTGCAAGTTGTTTATAACTGGTGTTGAACATTATTGAAGGCCCAATTACTGCAGTCCTTTCTTTATATACTGTTAAGTTTTTGAAATAAAATTTATGATCAATAAATCGAATAAATTGATCTATTTAAAATGATAAACTGGTCAAATCGAAACCGACTAAACCGAAGTACAAATCAGTCGGAATTGGATTTAACAATTGCATCCATAGTTTGTGTCGGTTTGATAAATTGGGTTCGAATCTAACCCAAATTGATCGCGTATCCACCCCTAAGCATATCAAATATGGCCTAAAATGTGCCAAGTCAGTCAACTTTTTCACCGATCTTTAATATAGACCTTTGTCAACTTTGACATTGTCCTATAATTTTTTACTCAATGAATATTTTTGCTGGTTTGTATCCAAGTTTTCTTATTATTTTTTTTTTTGTAAAAGATCAATCACATTTCCTATGAGTTAAGATTCCTTGTTTTGAGTAATGCAATTTCAATTTTAAGAAATACTTGAGTTTCTCAAGATCTTTCATCTCAATTTATGGTGATAACTCTAAGGAGTTGTCTCAATTAAATCATACAAATCATCACAAGTAACAATACTATCATCAACATAAATAAGAAGTCTCCTCATAATTGATAATCCTTCCATTCCAAATTATAAATAATTTTGACAAAAATATTTATCTTGAATTATAAGTCACTCTACAATTTCATTAATGATGTTTTGTCTATCCTTTATTTTTTTCTTCTTTTCTTTCAATCTCTTCATTTCAATTTTCAATGTAATTATTAAAAGATATTTTTGTAAAGTAATATATCATTTCACTTTTCTATAATGTGTAAAATGACAAAAATGTCTAATAATTTATGACAGAAAGAGTAATATTTATATTCATTTTTATCAATAGATAAAAAGTCTCCTCATAATATAGACCCACCCGCAACAATGACTTTCTTATCTCTTTCACTTTTAAAAATATTTTAATTATTATTTTTTCATATTATCTTTTTGAAATACTTTCATTTTCTCATTCATAAGGTGAATTCAAATTTTATCTTTCAGTCCATATTGAACAAATGGTGAAGTTTACAGAATCAACTACTGTAATAGAACTTTGAAATTATGGAGCCAATTTATTAAAAGAGACAAATTAAGAAATAAGACATTTATATGTTGAAGGACATAATCTTTTATCCCCTCAAAAAAATAATTAAGTCATCTAGGTTAGTATTACAAGTATCAGAAATATGAGAATCACCAATAGAAAAATCATTTTTAATACTTATCTTTGGCTTAAAAGATTGAATTTGTTTCTAGAACGAGTCTGGTTTACTTCTTCTTTGATACACTAGAGTTGAGGTTGAAGGCACTGATTCTTGCAAAATTGAAGATTTTGGAGGATTAAAATATAGACTCAAGTTCTGGTTCAATCATTGGAGAACAAGGAAAATTTATAAATTAAAGTTCTTGGATGTGTGCTCTAGGAAGGCTAGGATCGACGACTAGGATATGTCATTTATTTCATTTATGTTCTCCACCTGAGACTAAAGACGAGTGAAGTACGTCACATTTTATAAAAGGTGACATCTTTGGAGACAAAAAAATTCTTACTAGGAAGAAGATAACATTCATACTTTTTTTGTTAGGCGCATAATCCAAAATGACACATTAGATGACATAATCATTATACTTGTTGTGATATGATTTACGAAAATGAACAAATGTAATATAATCAAACACACGAAACTTAAGGTTCTTCTATAGGGGAACAAAGGAAACAAATAAAAACATAAATTGAATTGTACAAACATTACCTAAGACTTTGAGATAGGACTAGATTAAACAAATATACACTAGTAAGAACTATCTCTCCAATAAGAATTGGAAAAAACATTTAAAATACAGGAGATTAAAAAGCATCAAGTAAATGACCATTTTCCGTTCGACAACCATGTTTTATTGTGGGGTGTTGACACATGTAAATTCACGAATAGTACAATAATACTAGTGAAGTTGAAATTTTCAGGATTGACATGTTCTTTACCCAAATTGTGTTGTACCATATTTTAAATTTGGATAAATAATTATGGTACTTTTAGTTTGCTATTCATAAAAAATCAATGTTACTCGAGTACAATCATCAATAAAAGAGACAAACCATTTTGTACATGATATTGGAGGTAGGATCATGCCTCTAAACTGCACAATTAAAAATATTAAATAGTTCATAACTTTAATTAGAACTGGAAGGAAAAGAAACACTATTGTGTTTTGCTGATTGATGAAGATCGCAATTAAAAAACTTCACACTATTGCAAAAACAAAGACTTAATCATATAAAATAGAGGATGTCCAAGAAATTTGTGCTGAAACTGAATTTATGAGTAAAACAAGTAAGACTTGAACTATAGATAAGAGGATAACACCTTTTTACCATCTGAATCGTTAAAGAACTAGTATAACCAATCCTTTTATTTAGCAATTTCAATCGTCTCCTCCGTGGAAAAATTTCGAAAACACAAAGAGTAGAAAATTTTACTTTGTAATTTTGATCACGAGTAAGCTTATGGATGCAAATTAAATTGTTGAAAAGTGTGGGAACATGAAACCCTAATTGTAGCTTGAATGAAGTTTTTAATTCAATATTTACAATGACAACAACACAAGCATGATAGCCTTTCACAACAATTATATGATGAATACTTGATGAGGAAGTATAAAAGGATAGTTACAAGGAATCCAAAGTTATACTAGTGCTAACACCTTAGGAT